AAAATACAATAAAGAATATATATAACTACTAATGCTATTTATAATATACTATGCTAAAATCTATTTTGTAACAATATGTTGTTTGTATATATGCATTATTTGATCTGACAAAAAGTATATATTATTGAAACTATATTAATTAGTAGATAAATCTTTAAAATAATTCAATTATTCTAGAAATTTTAGCCAGATGTCAAAAAAAATTATATATTTAATTAAAATAATTATTATATATAATCATGATGGTATTATACCATTGCTTATATATTTATAGAACTAGAGAAATCTGTAGTTGATGTAGTAAATTAAAAAGATATTAAATTCATTATAATTCTCTAATACCTACTTCTTGTAGAGATTGTTATAAGCCAAATAGGTTTAAATATAATGCATACAATAAACACATGGGAAAATATAAAAGTAAAGAAAATTATAACAGAAAAAAGCAGGATGAGTTATGTGCACAATTTCCAAATTTAAGAATTATATATCTGACTTCTTTGATTTTATACATGAAGTTTAATCATATCCTGGTATATGTATATATTAATTATTTTTTTTAGGACCTCTTATTTTAGAAAAATAGCACTTATGTGTCTAAGTAATGTTATATCCTCTTTGATGCCTTCTATATTATTGATAATTTTATTGTGTAAAGCTACAGATTTCAAGACTTTATTTTAGAAAAAATAACATTTTGTGTCTGATCGAACTTGTGTTTCATTCATATTTATTTTCTGATAAGATTACTCAAATAGCAATCTATTTAATTTTGGATATATATACCAACTCATGATAATTAATTTCAAATTAAAAAAAATAAGTAGGTTAATGTATAATCACATTTTACTTATCGATATAGATTATTTATATATCTATTATAGCAACTGTCCAAAAAACTAGAAATCCCAAAACTAATAGCTTTACTTCTATTTTGGATCAGGTCTTCAATAAATATAACCTATTAGCCAAATCAAACCTGCTTTAATTACATGCTTATGCTGATAAACTTAGTACTATGCTACCAGATTAAAAGACTTGTAAAGATGTGAAAAAGGCTCTTTATCAGTACTTATTCAAAGAAAATCAAATAGAAACTCTGGTTTCAAATAACAAAAAAAAAGGCTTACTATCAAGAAAAGAACTCAATATTGTGTAAAAACTAAAAATGTATAAAATAATTGGTTACATGCTTTAGACTTAGCTGTGCTAAAAAATAATACAGATGAAGCAATTGTGACAGCCAGTTCTCATATTTCATAATTTTGTAGAAAGTTAACAGAAGCTGATGTTGGTTCTGAGCAAATTTATATATATGCCAAATTATTAGAAGTTACTCAAACTTCTAATGAAATTCAAAAAAGACAACTTAAACAGCAATTACCCAATTTACCTAAAACCTTTAAACACTTTTCCTTAGAAGAAGGACTTAGAAGAATTCAAAATATCAATACTACTAAAATCTCTACTATACAAGATCTTGCAGATGTAATTATGATGTTGAGTATGAGACCTGCTGAAGTTGCCACTCTTTGTATTATTCATTATGAACCTAATAAATCAAATTCTTCTAAATAGTACAAGCTTGGTTATTCTTAGTATTGTATCAAGTATATTAAAAATAAAGAAAAAACAAAAAATAATCCTAAACCTCAGCAATTTCTATCTATAGAAAAGAATCCAAAACATGCAAAAGAATTGCTTACCTGAATTCAAGATACAATAGCAACTAGAAAGTTATATAATCCTGTTTATAGTATTAATGAAAATGCAGTATAGAAGTATTTAGTAAATTTTTAAAATTATATAATATTATAGCTAAAAAATTAAGAAAAATTGGAGATAAACATGCTTCTACAGTTCATGGTAGTTAAAATCTAACTTTGCAACATCTCAAATTCCTTAGCAAAGTTGCAATAAGACATAAGATAGATCATTATAATTCTGGAATATATTATGTCAAGGGTAATACTTCTAATTTTGACCTTAACTTAGATTCAGAACCTGAATCTGAAGTCTTAGTTCCTACATCCAAGGCAATTAATGAGAATACTTCTAAAATTGAAAATATCTATAACTTATATAGAAGTATTTAGATTAGTTTATAACTTATTTATTCATTTACTATAATCCAACTTTACTGCTTTGGACTTGCTTTATAATAATTCTTACTTCCAATTTTTTAGCAAATTCTTTAGTTATAGTTGACCAGTTAGTGTCTGAATCAATAATATGTTTAGTTGTTGTTAATTTCATAATATTATTTATTAATATATAATAATTTCAAAATAAAAGATAATTATTTTTTAGTTATATTATATATTATTAAATAATATTTGACATGTTTTTTATAGAAACACTGATAGAAGAAAAAATTCCAGTTAAAATATTAATAGATATCTTATCTAAGTTTAATACTATTAACAGACACTTGTTCGATAAGCTTAAAGAAGATTATAGAATAAGTGATTCTGTTGAGAATCTCTATGAAGATATAATAAGTAAAATAAAATGCTTAGATTTGCAATTCTACTATAAAGAAAAGTGGTGAAGTTTAGATAGTACTGAAGTAATAAACTTTCAAATTTGCAAAAATCTATTATTTGATTTAATACTAGAATGAGATTGATTATAAATATGCGAAACAAAAATTAGCTTTGGATTTTCTCTGGAAAATTGTAAGTGCTATGCTAAAATTGAGATAGATGATATAAGTATCTCATTAATCGAAGAAGATAGCAAATCTATAGGTAACTCTTCGAGCTATAAAGCCAGCTCCACTAAAAAAAACTTATCTATTGCAAAGCAGGCTGTATTGTAAAACAATGGCACTTATGTGTCTAGGCAATTCTCTAAATTACAAGACTTTGTTCCTAAATCAACAAAATCAAATCTGGTCTATCTTAAAAGAATATTATAAATATAATTAACAAAATTCTCTCAAATACTAAAGATAGACTTGAAGAATTATTGTTTTGTAATATTAAGTAATGAAAGAAATGTCATAGAATATTTTACAACAAATCTGAAACAGAGACTGATTCATCCAGCTCTAATTCAGAATCTATAAATTCAGACTGATATAATCTTGACTTAATAAAACCTCAAAAGAAAAAGCAGAGCCTCAAATATCTGATTTATCATGTTCATGTTAAAAAGAAAAAGGTTATTTCTTCTATCCAAATATATCATAAAAATAAACATACCAACTGTGTTCACATTCTAGAGTAATGATCTAAATAATCAACTATAATAACTGGTATGAGTGAAAAGTCTTTGAACCATTTTTCAATGTGGGCTAAAACCTTTTTAAATAATATTTTCAATAGAGGTATCTCTATCAATACTTTCTTAGCACTTTTTTCAGTATATATATATCTATATTATATGTATTAATTTTCTACCCTTATAGTTATGTCTGTGATGAAGTAAAAATTAATACTCATTCATTACAATATCAATCATTATCTTCTGGTTTGTTATTAATTCTTGAAAAAGCTATTTATCTTTATTTATGATTAGAAGTCAGATTTTTTTAAAACCTGTTCTAACTTTGAAGAAACTTACGAATATACCAACTATACTTACCTATAAGCTAAAAATTATTTGCAATTGCTACCAAAGATCTAGCAATGATCCTTTAGATTGAGATTTTGACTCTTCTGACTCATATTAATTAATTCATGAATAAACAGATTGCCAAATTCGAAATTAGCTTAATAGAATTTGCAAATTAGTTTTGTTAGTCATAAGAAATAAATTATATAAAAAAGTTAAATATAAGTAATTTCACTATTAAAAACTTATCTGGTAACTTATTATTATTATGTCTCTTACTAATCTTTAAAATCTCATCTTAAATATTTTAAAGGAAACAAAACATAATATAATACAAGATATTATTGTTACAAAATTGCCACCATGTAAACTATATGAAAACAAAATATTATTTATTAATTTCAAATCATTTACAATTCTTTTATATGAACATACATATTATAAAAAATATATAAAAAAAAAATTTTTACTTATAACAGAAAATTAATGCCCTTTATCTAATTGTAATAAAATCATTGATCTAGTAATATCTGAATAAATGTTTTCTGAATTATTATCTTAGTCTAATGGAACTTCTGCTCTTGCAGAAATGTTAGATGATAACTTTGGATTTGATTCTCAAATGGCTGTATCACCATTATTAGGTCAGAAAAATCTTCCATTTTATGAAAATAGAACATAAAAAAAATATATTATAGAATTACTAGATAAATCTAATAAAAGACAGAAATCAACTACTAAGAAGAGTAAATCTTCTATAGTAAAAAAAACTCATCAAAGAATTAAAAGATAATAGTGTTAATAAAGATTTAATATTTGCTTCTCAGTTATCTGAAGATAGTTATACTTATCTTTATAAAAAAATTATTAAAACCAAAGCTGATAATGATATTGCAAGTTAAAAGGTTTTAAATTGTTATTTTGAATTTGGTAAAAAGTTATCTGATCACTTAAATTATTATAAAAACAAAAAAAAATATCAAGATCATAAGGCCCAGAGTAAAGTAGATAAAGAAGTAAAAGACCAATTGCCTAAAGAGATTAATGATACTACACATTGAAAACAAACAGAAAGAACCTGAAAAATATATAAGCTTTTTATTGAAATTGGTGTTGATAAAATGCAATGGGTTAAATCTTATTTGGCACTAAGAATTTCAAAATTAAGTTGGAAAAGCATTGACTATATTACAGAGAACTTTAAATCATAAAATCATACATATACTGCGCCTTGTGTAACTGTTACACAGCTGACCTCTGGGTCAGTGATTTTTATTTTATTTTTATTATTTTTGCTGTATATCAGGGAAATGTTATAATAAATTTACATAAATTCGCTTTTAAACATTTTATAAAACCAAATTTCATATACATACGTATAACCAGTATTTTTACCTTATAAGGCTTATACATAATTTGTTTGTAAACGGGTCACAAACACAAGTGCCCACAGTTTGTATAATAAAAGTTTTAGCCACGTTATATTTTTTCTGTTAATATATACAATGATAAAAAATCCGAATAGCATACTCATACGTAAAGATAAACAAAATTGCTTCGAAAAGTGGCACATCTTTAGAGGTTGGAAGCATGGATGTAAGGTCTGTGACGAATGCAATCACCATTCACATCTGTATTGTAAAACATGTAAAAAAGTAGCGGATGAAATATATAGGCGATGTGAATGTGAAAATTCTCAAATAATACAGTAACAATAGATCTTTTGTTCATATAATAGATATTTATTAAATGTGCTACGTAGAATAATTCCGCATACGTATAAATTTATTTGCACTACCTTACAAGATTTATCAAAACTTATTTGTAAGAGGAAGCTACCTAACCTAACCAAAATTGATCAATAAACTCCTGCCATACGCATAATGATCGGAATTTATAATTATTATACGACAGGGTGAAACCTGAGTTGCGAAATAGTGAAATCCGCTTTGTAGATCGGGTTAGGGTGAAATTCGCGTTTTATTATGGTTTTTATTATATAAAAGCGGATTTCACCCTTATGTAATGATCATAGCGGATTTCACTATTTCGCAACTCAGGTTTCACCCTGTCGTATTATTATTTCAAGCTCAAAATGCTTAGATAACACGAGATAGATGTTTAAACAACTTGATTACTGAATAAAAAATGGAACTAAATTCGGTAAATAGATCACATTTTTCAAACCTTAATTTGTTAGTAAGAGGGGGTAGTTTATGGTGTTTAAGGCAGATCGTATATACATATAATATCGATACATTTTTAAAATAGTTTTTTGGTTTTTTTTTCTTATGATAAATAACCCAAATAATTTAAGCACGTTCTTTTGACGAAAAAAAAATTATGAATTTTATGAATTTTCTCAGCAAAAAAGGAGTGATGACAATTCGGAATAAAAAGATGAAAAAAAAAGACTAATTTTATTTTTAAGTTTCAAGAAATCTTAGAAAAAAATTAAAAAATGCTTTCTGAGTCCGTTGTAGTCGAAGTTCGTATCGAAGAAACAACTTATATAAAGGGTCTGATTTTGGAGGTGGATATTGTTGAAATGTTGAGAAGCTCCGGTCTTGAAGTAATTCATGTAGGGTGAGCTTTTTCACTAAGTATTTGTTGAGTTATCATATATCCGAAGTTACGCTGTCCCATCAGTGTAAAATGTCTGAGAAGAATTGAAAGCTCTTCGTGGCCTATGTTTCAACATAGAACGTTCTTCTTCTCAGTTACTTGGTGTTCCTGCGGTTCGTATTGCCTACACGGGGAATTAATGGATGAATAGGATATATGCTAACTAATGAGCACGTCACCGTAGACTATTCCGGCCGTGTAATATTTAGTTGTTAATAATGATGATACATGTACTTACATATTATCATTTATAGAAAAAGAGAAGATGGTGGTGTCGACATTATATGTAATATTGGAGAAAAAAAAATAATGATCCAATGTAAAAATTGGTACAACAATATAGGTAAATTATTATATTTATTTTTATTTATTATTAATTAATTGATTACAGGACCGGAAACCGTCAGATCATTGAGAGGAGTAATGTGTTTGGAAAAAAGTGAAGTTAGTAAAGTTATAGGTGTTGTCGTTGGGCAAAAATTTTCGTCAGGCGCTATAGATGAAGCGGGTAAATCTGATGATCATCCTATTATCTTGACAACAAAAGACCGTCTCTATACAACTTTTCTAAACTTAACCTCGATATTATTAACGACACCCCTATCAAATTTTTCACGTATAACAAATTTATAATTAATCATTAATTTCGCTAACTATTGTCATTTCTTTTTTTAAATTCACTATGGGGTACCCGAGCATTGACCTCCATGTGGTGTATCCTGGATTGTAACTAACGAATGCTCGTTTTTATTTTTGCTGTACAAATAAAGTTGACCCCAGTTGCTGATTTCGCATACATAATCGGTTTACTTTTGCATGTGTATTTCGTGAATTTATCCTGCCTTCACGCAGACAGTCCACAGATAATAGTATAGACGTCATGTATCGCGGGCTAGTCCCGAACATTTGTATTTATTTTTCGCATGTATTAATAAAAAGTTTTTTCTTGGCATTGTTCGCTGAAATTTCATTAGTTTACATTAACACGATAAAGAATTAAATATATCCATATTTTTATAAAATATAAAAAATGGCAAACAAACAATCCAAAGTCGATTCATTAGAAGAACGAATTTCCAAGCTTGTAATTAATATATCTGATAACACTTCAAATTCTGATGTATGTCAGGAGCTTTCATCCCAATATTCCGCATCATCCGTCTGCACAGAGAGTAAGTCATTGGAAGGCAAGGAAATAGATGAATTCGTAGATTCAATATATGAGGAACAGGTTAGTAAAGAGATAATTCAGAGAATTAGGGAGAAGAAACTTCGGGAACAAGAATTATCCTCTATATCGGTTGAAGAATTATGTAGTGAAAAGGTGAGACCAAAAGTCCCACTTGAGCAAAACAGCAAATCGGTGCCGATACAGCCTGAAGAAACAAAAGTTTCGCATGATTATATAGTCGCCCAAGATTTTATTCAAGAAGTGTCTTCAGGGTTCACAGATGAGGAAACCATCGAAGTCGTTGATGTACTCACTACCAATACGACAATAGAAGTTGAGCTAGCTCATTTGTTTCTAAAAGTAAGTATTGAAGGAAAAAGTACTATACAAGCTAAACAGAAAGAGATTTCATGTCGTTACTCATATGGAAAAAGATTTGAAATGGGAGTTCAAGAACTTATGGTAAAGGAAAACATTTCAGAACAGACAGCGAGAAAACGATTATTCCAGGATATAATAAAACACCTTTCTGGATTAACTTTGGAAACCTTACGTAAAAGAACCCAAAGATCTATAAAACTTTACAAATTAATCGAAAAGATACGAGTTGATAAGATTAAGAATATCAAGACATTCAGTGCGGATTCTATTTCAAAGTTTACACAACCTCAAATTCAAATAATTCTGGATTATTTTAATGAAGGTGAAAAAGTGAGACCAAAAGTCCCACTTGAGCAGAATGGCGTTGTCAATCATGTATCTAATACAGATTCTATTAATATTATCAGCAGAGCTGACATAACCAAGAAGACCTCACCGATAGCTCAGGCAAGCGCACCACCCATATTTGAACCAGAAGTCGATGTAAGTATATCTCCTGTTTCTATCAATTCGAAAACCAAGATAAGTGTGGGTTCTACGTCTAAAACTGGAAAAAAAGCTTTATCCAAGAAGACCCTATCTGAAAAGCAAAATAATTCAGCATATACCCGTGGTTATTTTCGTAGCAAATTATTGGAGCAATATCCCGATTTATATAAAGAATGTAGTAGCGAAAATGTTGATTATTATGGTATTAATGCTGAATCACTATGTCCGATATGCAAGTTAATTCATGAGGATGAAGAAGGTATAGAAGCTGAATATAAAGATGGATCTTACTATATTAAATGTGAAGCATCTGAAATTGGCACTGTTATATCGGCTCGTACTGAACAAATTGTATAATTTTATCTGTTTATTATTACTATGCAATAAATATTAATGTGAGAAGCGGAGCTACTGAAATAGCATATACAGTATATTTAATATTTTTTTATGCGCATAAGTGCCTCCATTTCGTAAGTGATATCCAATGTAGAAATTTCAATTGACTTGTGATCTTATAAAATAACAACATGAGTGCGTTAAACTTACAAACCAAATCTGATAAAATCTCTATGAAGCAGGATACTTTGTTGGGGTGCGTCATATTCTAATTAATCAAAACTATATCAGGTATCATAATAAAAATTAATAATACAGATTTTTTATAATGATCGATGATCTATTTATATTGTTATGGGTAGATTCGACCCTAGGACCTTGAGGAAACGTTGCGTAACGACCCACGATCTGCACCACGAAAACCGTCGTACCACGATACCCGCGACCCAAGACAAATCAAGCTTCTCATTAAGTGACGGCGCCGATCCATTGAAGAAAAAGCCACCTGCCCGATTTGGAATCCAACTGTCAAGGTAATATTACCTTGACAGGAAAAGTCTGTGGCCGTGTCAATGCGTCGTCATATGCTGGATTGTATGTTGTTGTGGGATGATGTTAAAGTAATGACAGATGAATTGTAAGAAAAAAGGAAGAATGTTAGTAAAAAAGGGAAAAACAGTCTATGACAATGAGAAAAAAGGTGTCAAAGCCATGTCCCAAGTTCCCCTTTTTTCCCCTCAAAATGTTTATAAAGAGTGCCTCCCTACCCTATAGATGCCATATACATGAGATATAGTACCTTTTTGCCTCTTAAACCCGAATTGCCTTGTAACTTGTAACTCACCCTATAATTAAAAAGAAATAAAGTTTTTTAATTAATAAACTACTAAACTACCAAAATAAAGTAATAAATAAATAAAAACTATTATGCTCCTTTAACTCCTCTGGTAACATTCTTAAGGCTGCCATAGACCAGTGTCAAATCGAATTTGCCTCACCTGTCTTGAGCAATGTTATGCGATGTAAATGAATTCGAAGCGACAATTTGTCGCATTTCTTCTTATCCCTATTGTGCCATTCTCAACCTTGTACCTTGTATCAATATATTGCCAGCTAGTGGCTGTAGCAAATAGCCAAAATTAAAATTATTTAGCTGAAATTAGAAAAATTTGGTCACTTGCTATTAGCGTGATTGGTAGGCCAAAAATGATTTGTTGCAAACACTGACTATAATAGGTGACCATGTAAAAACAGCAAGATTTTACATAAATTAGATTATGAAGAAATAAATCGATGACTTTATAATTAATGCACACTACAAAAGTTATCAATTTTTATTATTTATTATTTTATTTTTATTCTTTTTGATATAAAAATTGAATTTGATGACTACATATTTGCTGATTACACAATTGCCAATTACAGATTTGTGACATTATATGTATTTAATTATTACCTCTATATATGGATATGTAATCATTTTTGAATCCAGACCAAAATTTTATTACATATTATATAAATTTCAGATTGAGTTCAAAAATAATTATCCATACTTGACACAATAATCTTAACAACAAAAAAATAATTCTTTAAAAAGATTATTTGCTGCTTCTTCTTGCTGACTATCTGATTGAGAAACTTGTATAGCAGAATTTTGTTGGTAAGTTTGTCTATTCCTTTGGATCTCTTTTAATTGTTCACTATTAACTTGAATATCATTTATTTTTGTTGTAGAAAGGTGCATTTTAGATTGTTGAGTGGAATAGGTCATATTAGGATGAGTTTTTAAATCCCACTTGTTGAATAGGCCCTCGATTTGTTGCTGGTGAACAATAATATACCAAATTTTATTTTTGACAAAATCATAAAGCTGAAGGTATTCAATTTTCTAACAAATGAGTCAAATTCTAAAAATAATAATTCATTAGTTAATGCTGTTTTAAAACCAAAATCTTTAAAAATTTTTTGTACAATGTCTGTTTTAAGAATTTGTGTGTAATAAACTTCTTTTAGGCTAGGAATTCTTAACTAAGCTTTTTTGAGAATAATGTATCAATAACTGTGAGTGAATTGTCATGCATTATCTTCCTCAAGATGGCACATACTTAAAGAAAGATGCAACTAGCAATTTAACCATTTTGGATATAACTCAAGCCTTTTTTGTATTTCCTGCTCTAATTTCTAAATTAATAATTCTAATTCTAAATTATTCATTATTTCTGTACTTTGTAAAAGTTCAATATCAAAAAACAAATAAAGATTTTCTAAAATATTTATTAATTTGTATGTAGAGTTAATAATAAAATTAGGCATTTGGTGTGTATAACAATCAGGTAATAAGTGCAACAGGTTATTTGATTGTGTAACTCTTAGTTATGAATTATAACCAACAAGAAATTCAGCAAATGGTTGATAAAATTCTTTAACAAATTTGACCAAACACTGAATTTCAATATTTAATTTAGAATCAGTTAACTAATTTTAAAATAATTCCCATTTTTGAATATAGGACATAGGTACCTTTTTTAAATTTTTAAGTTTGGAAAGAAACTATGAAACAAATTTTAAATGGACTTCATGTTTTTCAAGATACTGCTCTGCAGTAATTAATTCATATTACTATCTTGAATGTAAAGGTTGTTGGTATTTGGTTAATTGGTAATCAAATCACATTTTGTAAAGTTTTCTGATTGTTTCACTTTTTATGTTTAATGATAAATCTTTATCATTTTGATTATAGCCATCATGTAGCATCCATGTTAAATAAAGAAGATTATATGAATAATGAGTTTTTGAAAATCCAGTACTTGCTAAAAGTTTTTTAAAAGTTGTTTCTTCAAAGTTATTTAGAATCAAATATAATACATGTAATCTATATAGAATTCGAACACAGTTATTTTGTGTTAATTTATTAAATTTTATTACAGTACCTTTGACTTGACCACTCATATAGTTTGTGTTATCTGTAAGGAAAGTAAGACATTGTTTAGTGTTTATATTATATTTTATACATGTTTCTACAAGAGCCTAGCTAACAGTATCTGAATTGCATCTTATAAGATTTTTTGTCTCCAAAAGTATAATATTAGGCATATTTTTTACCAAATTTCAGAACATAAAATATTCAACAAGTACTTTTTTTTTACCTTAAACTGATTTATCTGTCATAATCTCAAATAAAAAATAGTTTGATTGGTTAGCTTGTTGAAATATATTTTTTACATGTGATTTTAAGATCTTATAATATCAGCACCTAATTGTTACATTTAAAATCCAAAATTAGGTATTATCTCCAGTTAAAAAATTAAAAATCATCATTATACTTTCTGCTACAGTATTAAAGAATATTTGATTTATTTGAGAAACTTTTGTAGTAAGTTTTAAAATTCTAAATTATACACTTTTTTATTTTGTTGAATTAAATTTTTAATTATTTTCTTTATATCATCAGTTTTTAATTCTGGTAAGTACTTGGTCATTGCATGAATTTGGAATATATGTTGATGATGTTTATATTCAAGTTGTATAATGATATTACTGAGTTGTTAAACTTTCTGAACTATATTTTTTTTAGACTGTTCAAGTTTATTAAGATCATATTTAAGCTGTTTATTCTGAGAACTTAATTGATCAAATGATTGTTTAGGTTTATAAAGTGAATTTAATAAGTATTGAGAAGCTTTGTTTTGTAAATAAGATGATATTATTTGATCTTTATTTTTTCCATATAAATATCTTATAGTGCACAAAAGAGAGAATACTGATTTTAGATTGAATTTAGGTAATTCTTTAATAGTGTTAATTATGGCATTATATGTGTTGGATGAGTTTAATTTATTAATGTTTTTGTCATTACAGACAATACTATGTATTTTTTGAAGCTCATGATCAGATACTTCATTTAAATGAGTATTTATTTCATTAATAGAATCTTGACATTTATCTGACTTGTGCTTCATAGCAAATAAATTGCATGCATTTTTTAGTTATAATTTATGATTAGAAAGTTTAAGCATATTTGAGTTTTAAAAAGATTTAGTATTAAAACTAAGAAAGAAATCATAATAAAATTCATTCAACAAGAAATACAACAAGCTTCTTTTTAAAATTACAGATTTAAATTTTTTCTAACAAAGCTAATTTATAACAAAAAGATTTACTTTTAGCTTAAATATATGTATATCATTAACAAATACAAAGCTTTTTCTAATATAACTTTTAAAAACATCTAATTTATTAAAGATTTTAGACTGTAATTTTCTTTTATTAAAGTGTGCTAATTGTTTTTTACAAAAATTACTAGAAAAAAGTAGTTAGTAGATCAATTGAATTAATTTTCGAATACTAATCTTGGACTAGCAAAAACATTTGAAATTATTGCAGTTTTTATCAATCAAAATTATGCACAAATCTGCACTATTGATTTTTACAATAATACATGACATAGTTTTAATTAATTAGTATATAATACACTCTAATACTTTGTGCCTAACTCCTGAATATTTAGATTGGCAGGCTAAATTAATTGGAATTTTAATAGATAATATTTATTTCAAGTTATATAAAAGATATAAAAAAGAAACTTGGCTCAATCTCTAGATAATGTCTAAAATCTTTAAGTCTCCACAAATCGAAAAGGATGCTAAAAAAAATATTATTTATATAACAGATAAATGTTCAGCCTACATTATCCAAACTTCGATTACCAATTTCTGTTCTATCTAAAGATCCAGAAGAAAGGTAACAACATATTATTAAAATGGTATTAGAACAATTTTCTTATTTAATAGTTTTAAATATAGTAATTATTTTAATTTTAATAGATCTGTACTCTGTCCTATATGCAATAAAGACCATAAAAAAGAAAATATAAGAAATAATATAGAGGGTTTATGAGAAAGTGGCAATTATGTCAATACAAAAACTTATCATCTCTATTGTTATATAAATAAATATTAAAATTAATTCAAATAGTAACTGTAAAAGCACATCACACTCTCTCTGACGATCACTTGGACACAAAACCAGTGAAAAAAGAAATCAACTTCTGCACTAACAGTGATAGATAACACTCTTGACAACACTAAGGGAAAGTAACAGCAACAAAAAAAGCAACAAATAAGCTTAGAAGCAAAAAACACTGCAAGTGTTAGTAAGATAGCTATAGAGGAAAACCAAAGGTTTTTGTAGAAATTTTAGTAAAAAAAAAAATTTTGGGGGATTGCTAGTGACCCTATACGTAGATCTGTTTAGATTACACAAACAACACGTACAGCCTAGACA